GTGTCTGTGACCTTGTGTCATTAAAGTAATTAATTGTGTCATTATTTGGTGTATGTGACCTTGTGTCATTAAAGTAAGTAATTGTGTCATTAATTGGTGTCTGTGACCTTGTGTCATTAAAGTAATTAATTGTGTCATTATTTGGTGTATGTGACCTTGTGTCATTAAAGTAAGTAATTGTGTCATTAATTGGTGTCTGTGACCTTGTGTCATTAAAGTAATTAATTGTGTCATTATTCAGTGTTTGTGACCTTGTGTCATTAAAGTAAGTAATTGTGTCATTAATTGGTGTCTGTGACCTTGTGTCATTAAAGTAAGTAATTGTGTCATTATTTGGTGTCTGTGACCTTGTGTCATTTAAGTAATGTTACTTTTAATACTTTGTGGGTGAATAAATAATATTTACTCTTTTAGAAAATTCCTAGTTTATAGATCTAGAATTTGTTGTGTTTATAGTAATTCTTGCAAATAATCAAATATTGTTTATATGATGTTCATATATGTAATATGTTCAGGTAGATAACTGGTTAAAGAAGACTCATTACTCATTAATATGGAACGCATAAAAATGTTTGTTTATTTTTAGTTTCTGAAACATCTACTAAGAATACTCTTGGTTCCAGTGAAGTACCAGTAGTAGCTATACTAATTCAAGGTGGATATGACTGTGTTCGATTTGTACTGGATCATCTCAAAAAACAATTTCCTGTAGTTATCATCAGGGGTAGTGGAGGCCTGGCTGAATTGCTAGCTTATGCTTACTCTGAGTTCAAACATCGGTACTATCTCTATCGCATGGTTAAAATTAAATTTTTGAAATTAAACTATATGAGTGATCCTTTTAGTTAACTATTTTTTAGAAGTAATGACTATGACCTCATAAAAGTTGTCGTGGTAATGCTTTTGTATTCTTATAAACATCTAGGCTGGACATGGTTTTGCGATTTGTGTGCCCAGACTGTGAATTGAAAGGTTCATATTTTGTGTTTCGTTGATGAAAAAATACTCACTGCATTTTGGGGCTGTGAGTTTTACTATAAAACTGACGATTAAATCCTTCTGTTTGGTCAGATAGGAGTAGCCCAAGAGTTGGTTTAAAAATCCAATATGCTCCACACGGACCAACCCCCCACCATCAGTAATTCTAGTTAAAACTATTACATTGCTTCAGTGTTGATTCCAACATAAAGAAACACAGATTCACTTGACATTTAAATATGTTTTGTTTGTAATCTTAATGAAGCTACATAATTTATCTATCTGTTTGAGTTGCAGCCACAATGAGCTATCCGTTGTGTCCACCATAGGGACCAGATTTTAGCATTGTAAATTTGTAGATATACTGCTGTCCCACTGAAAAACAACAAAATTTATCATAAAATTTTTTACTTTCCTAGATAAAAAATACATCTTGTTAGTATCAGAGGTTTAGCTCTTTAGCCTAAACCAAAAGGAGATATAATTCACCAGATAATGCTACGAGTTGATAAAAATGTGGGTAAAAATGTTACTTAGGAAATTAATAATGATGCTAGAAAATATAAAACAACATTTTATTGCTCAATATTTCCATTTTTTGTTTAATACTATTGATATGATATTGAAATTGCTCTGAACTATACAGTTATGAAGCTACATACAAATGAAATGTTAATACTAGTTTATTTACAATTTTCATGTGAAGCTATACAGTGGCTATACGTGTATGGCTGTCCCTAATTTTGAACTGATAAGACTAGAGAGAAGGCAGCAAGCCAACAGCAACCACCACACAAACTATTTATGCAATAAATGGATGTTTGTTACAGGATCTATATTATAGTCTAACAATATGCGAGTTAAAAATCAAAACAAAACACAATCAATACTATAACTCATCCTACTAATTATTACTGTGACTTCATATGTATTTTACATATAAATGATAAGCTCTTTACACTGAGTGTTGTAACAGGCAAAAAGGTACAATAACTCAACGTGATACAATATGTAGACTCGCCAGTTATGAATGGTATGTAAAAAAGTCAGTAATTTGAAGGTTAACATAAGCTTTTATTATTATTATTTTTGATAATAGCTTTAAAGCAATATAAAAGTACCTGGTTGATGGTAATATTTGAACATTTTTCTTGCTGTACATTTTAGGGCTCAGAGTAGATGGGATGTAGAATTTGTAGAAAACTTTCTTAAACCAGAACTTTCCAACAAGATAGTATACCACTTTCCAAAGCTAAGAGAAAACAGCCTAGCTCGGAACATGTTCAGGGACAGGATTCTGGAATGCGTTCGCTATGCACAGCAGGTTAGTTTTTAATTTTTCATTGTTATTGTTCATATAAAATAATTTCTTAAAGTACATATAAAAGTACCATGACTAGTTTTTATTAATATGGCACAGTGATGTTTAACTATGACACATATGGCCCGGCATGGCCAGATGGTTTGGCCGCTCGACTCGCAATCTGAGAGTTGTGGGTTCAAATCCTCGTCACACCAAACATGCTTGCCCTTTCAGTCGTGGGGGTGTTATAATGTGACGGTCAATCCCACTATTCGTTGGTAAAAGAGTAGTCCAAGAGTTGGTGGTAGGTGGTGATGACTAGCTGCCTTCCCTCTAATCTTACACTGCCAAATTAGGGACGGCTAGTGCAGATAGCCCTTATGTAGCTTTGTGCGAAATTCAAAACCAAACCAAACCTAGAACACATAAAAATGCTGTCACTGATTTGTACTTGTGTATATTGAACATACTCTAAGATTTTGATTTGATGTTTAAATATGTTTAATGATGTCAAAACTGCATCATTGATGAGGTTATGAAAGATCTAGTACTAGATACTAAACAGGCAAGAGGCAGCACTTAAGCATGAAGGTTTTATTGGGCATGGTGCCTGAAATTGAGAGTGCAAGCTTACGTCAGTGAAAATAAGTTATATCTAGTTGTTACTGAATAATACATAGAATGTATAGATATTTATCATTCAGGGATATTATCAAACATAAATATATTGGAAATTTGAAACTTAATCAGGGCATAATGCTGTTACAAATTTCAAACCATATTTTGGGTTTATTTAGTTATTAAAGGAAGTAATTCAAATGTGTGATTTACATGTATATGTTTTTATTTATAGCAGCAACAGATATATCTGACAGTGTTGAATATTCACAGTCATACGTGCAATCTGAAAAACCTGGATCAATACATACTTCAGGCACTTTTCAAATGTAAGAATCATTTTAGTTTGTTTAAATACAGTTTATTATCATTACTAAGGAGTTTTTTTTCAAGTCAGATTTAATTAATATACGAATGCAGATGAGAAGACTAACTAGAAAAATTGTTTCAATTTACATCTAGCTCAGAAACCAGAGAACAACAACTGGCATGAACAGATGCAGAAAGATCTGTTACTCACGTTGGACTGGAACAATCCACGTGTAGCTTTGACAGAGGTCTTTCGTAAAGACCCTTCTAATAAATTCAAGGCAGGTCTTATTAACTTCTGTCTTCTTAATTTAATTATTTTGTTAGTAAACTAAAGAGTTAAAAAAATCGGTTTTTGTGTTTGAGAAGGTAGAAAATATTTTCACTAAAGAAGTATCGGGGAAGTAACTGAAAGACGTGAAAACTAATAAATAATAATATACGCTTTCACCTGAATCCATAAGGAAAACATTATTCAAATGAACAAAATATGATGAAACCAAAAAGGTAATATTCATAGATGTTCTGGTTCTCACACAGTATACACTTGAATAGGGTGTGTTGAAACTAGTTGCATAATTAACTGTATTTTTTTTAAGTTTATTTGTAGTTACTTTGTATTTTCATGTCTTTTTCTTACTTAATTTATGTTTTAAAAAAAGCTGTTAATCATAATATCATCAACAAATAGTTTACTTGTCACATAATTGGGAACTCCTTCATGTTTGTATCA